TCAATGAAATTCGTAGTATAATGAGTTGGGGCAACATCTCGTCTTAAGATCACATCTTGCAATTCAATTCATTGGAGTTCAGGAATAACATTTTCTCGAGCATATCAAGGTAATTACCAGCAGACATGACATCAAAGATACAGAGGTCAATAAGGGTGAGCTGCATGATGCAACACCTCACTTTTACTTTGTGAGTTGCGAAAATTGTATAGAGTAGTATACAGATTTTCATCCGTTGATCATAGTCATCCTCCTGCATTTGGATTTTAATATAAAAAAACGGGATTTTAGAAGTTATTTTTAACCACCCTGAATAAGAATTTTGAACTAGAAATCTATAGCATTTAAAATTTTCATAAGTGGACCACATGACAACAAAATTTCATTTTTTTAATGTTGAGTAAAAAAAAAATTTGAAAGTGTAACGTAACTTCATGAGTATATGCTACCAAAATAAAGTTACAAAGAGTCAGATGGTCGCAAACTTTATGTTGGTGAGCATTTTGGAAATATTTCCAGTACAATGTGACTCCTATTCACATCCAGGTATCCGATTCAAAGAAATCGGAGAAGGATGAACAACACAGTTAGTTCGATCCGCAATGCTATCGTTGCGGCCTAGTTCATGGCGTTTATCTGTCCGAATCCGGTTCGATACGATCCGCGGCTATTCAGCAGGCAAACATCTCGAAAGTGGACCGGCAACGCTTCATCACGTTGGCGGAGATTAACAACTTCTGCGCATTTCGTTTGATTTCGCTGCACTTTCAAGATGTTGGTCACCACCGGTGAAAATGAAAAGCAAACGTATTGCAACTGCCTTGGGCCAGAAACTTTTCGAACGTCCCTCGTGGACGTTGCACCGGCCTTGCACCGACCGAGGTCACGTGACGCCATGGTTGTCCAGTTCATTGCGAAATGGAAGCTCCTCCATTCGAGCGTGCCGCATCGATTCGATAAGATTACTGGTCGAGGAAGTCCGTGATCGTTTGTCCCTGCTGGCCATGGTGATGGCAAGTTACCTAACTCCCACGCCGGAACTCAAGGCCGCGGGACACGGTCACAAATCAGATACTGCAGCACGAGTGAAGCACGTGACTGCAAGGTCGGAAAGTCACATCGCAACGTATTTTACTAACATATCCAAAGCCGAAGCGTTGTTGAGTTGTGAACTCATACCGTCTTCTATTAGCGTCGATGAATTAATGCTGCCATCGTTTACAGCCAGGAAAGGGGGGAAGAAGAGAACAGACGAATATACTGTAGACAATGCAGATGTTCACATTGCGTCCTCGTGTTCTTAAGAGACACAAGACGCCAGCTTATCATTGTGATTGTGTGATTCCATTCCGGTCTTCAAGTCCAGCTTCAAAAGGCTGGAAGGCATTCGCTATTCAACATCAGTATAGTGAACACAGGAAAACCTAGACATCCAGTCAACGCAGGAAGCAATCCGTTAAAGTAGCGAAATGTAGAGCTTGAGGCGACGAAGGATGGATTGATGCTTACGAGGTCAACCAGTCAAATTGAGTCAATTTCCATTTAACCATTGCAAACTATGGTCAAATTTGAAAATGGACAACAAAAGAGACCATGTTTGCCAAAGAAACAAAGGAAAGGCCTGTGTGAAAAGATGGCAGCACAGCCGCGACGGGAGATAAGTATTGCTTGAATTCGCTCCTCTCCATTATCGTTGATGGACGATTAAGACCAGTCTCTTCAACATTGCGACTATGGTAAAAAAAAAAGTTCCTACTTAACCTTTAAGACAGTCTTTTCCAACCAGTGTGCCGTGGCAAACTGATGCGCCTCCAGGAACGCTCAGGTGTATTGCGAGATTAAAGGCTTGTGAAGGAAAAATGCGAGAATAAATCTTTTTCCTCGCATCAGTCAAGAGCATACGGCAGCGTGGAGCAAGTGGTGGGGGGAGGGGGGGGGGGAGGGGCAGCAATGGGAACCCCAATTAGTAACTAAAAAAAAACTACAAGTTATTCATGAAAACACACTACTTTCCAATCTTGAATAGACATGGAAAAATTAGTGGATTTAACATCTTTTTCTAATTCATGGAATGAAGCCCGTCTCTAATATCCTTGGGCCACATACAATAGCTGCCTTTATCTTTCTCCCAGCAGCATTTCAAGGCCTTTATCCGCAACGGACAGCCATCATTTCCGGATAAAAGCTGGTTTCATCAGATACATGCGTAGGCTCGTATTGCAGTACAAGCATAAATAACTCACATTCCATTGTCTGATCCCAGTGAATTGGCGCTTCTCTCTTAACCAATCTTTCATTTCCCTTGAGGGTCTAGGGATGTGGTACGGCCCTCCAGGCACGAATCTCCACACCAGGAAGAACTTATTACTACCAAGCATTAAGTCATCCTGATTGTGTCTTCATCATGCCCACCCCCACAAAACACTTAGCACTTGTGCCTTTAGGAAACATGGGTGTGAATTCTGTTCAGGTACTGAATTGCGCAGCAGCGGTGGTTGTGTGATCGACTCAAGTGGTGTGGCAGACTTTCTGATATTGTTGAGGCAGATACTGTATTCTTCGACAGTGCGAAATTCCTGGTGTGGAGATGCCGATGCCGGGCTTGCTGCACTACAAGTGCTCTGGTAGGATCGTGCCGCTAATGACTTTCCTTCGGCTTGTCAGTCAATTAGCGCTCTTTCGCTATCACTCACATTCTTAAATTCATCTTCGTCTTGCTGCAATAGTTTGGACTCACACTGACCAATGATCTGTTCTGATTGGTTCAAAATTCATACTCGTGCATTTACGTAGTGTTGAACCATTGCCATAAATACATATACAGTGGATTCCGCTTGCTTGGACTATCGGTTAATGGAGGCAGCCGGTTTATCGGGACATTTTGTCAGGAACGGAACCATTTCTATGCAAGTGCATTTAAATTTCGCCGTATATCCGGGACGAAAATCCGCTTTGTCGGGACAAGGTCGAGATGAACTTATGCCATCGGTCATTGATGGGTTTTTCCACCTTCTCTCGCTCCTTTTCGCAGAATCTTTCGTGGTTAAGAGCTGGCCGACTGTTAAGGCAGACTATCGCAAACTACTTCCGTGGATCTGGATTTTATTCCAGTCCAGAGGTGCCAACGACGGGGTTCTGACCATTATTGATGTCACTAACAGAGGAGCCAAAGTCAACATCGACGAAAACGCACAGTGCTTCACCGAACTCGATGACTTTGAGGCTGATGTAGTCGAGGACATCGTCGCCAAGATGCCTTGCTAAGAGAATGTCACAGGCGAAGAGCCTGAGACTTTACCTAAGGTGACTCGCGTAACGTAAGAGCTCTCGGTGGACATCCTTCAGCGCCAATTATTGAGCAGGGTTTGGATGATAGCGGACATGGTGCTCTTGGCATTGGTGCTTTAGAGAAGCTTTTTCGGAATGAAACAAGCAACTATGGGCACATTTCTTGATTCGTAATTTTTATTTTTCCACAGGTAAAGGACATTCGTGTCTGGGTTTCTTACTATAAGGCAAGTTCGCTTTATTGGGGCAAATTGACCTGAAAACAACGTATCCCAATAGAGCGGAATCCACAGTATGTCGATAGTTCGACGCGGGTTGAATACGGGTCTTGATACAGGGTATTTATTTTACCAGTTAACCCAAGGAAATGCAAATAAAAAAGAACTATAATTCAGATAAACATGAAACTTGGTGATACGAGAACCAAGACATTATAAAGTGTAAAATCACAATGACAGTCAGAGTCAGTCACAACACATCATAACACGTTGGAAGTGACCACTGCCATGTTCAATACACAAGCGTGCAAGGCGAAGCATGTTGCTGGACACAGACTGTAACATCGCTAGCGGAATTTTGTGCATTGAACATGGCGGTGGCCACTTCCGACATATGTTGTGACTAGGACTGTCATTGTCATCTAGCACTTTACCATGTCTTGGTTCTTATATTACCAAGTTTCAAGTATACCTGATGACATTTTTTTTAAATTTGCATTTCTTTTGGTTAACTGGTAAAATGAACACCCTGTATATATCTTCAACTTATGTAAAGTCAAGCATAGTTTCAAGGGCATTTCTTAAATGAGCGCTTGTCCATGTCTTCGAATGTCAACATGGCTAAAGAATGCTTCCTTGACGTCCACACCCACAGCTGGAATGCCAACAGTCCCTGGTAAGGCATGCACATTTTATACCAATTAGAAAGCTTTTCTTGGTTGGGTTTACAAACGTTTTGAACATGAAGTAGAATGAAGTAATGTCACTGATATCTTTCAGTGCGATGATGAAAGCAGGAAATGCTCATTCCTACAAGCTGCATTGCTTTGCGGGTCAAAATATTCTCATTCAAAGTCCACGTTCACTGAAAGGCTGCATGGTTACAAATCAAATGAAGTTCTGACAATGTAAAATATGATGCACACAAGAATCCTTTAGTACCAATCCCACACATGTGGAGGTTTTTTTTTTTTTTTACCTTGGGCATATGTATGCAGTATGCAATTCATGTGCTTGCTTTCATTTCTTCATGAGATGATTTCCTTCAACATATACCCTAGCATTGACAATACAGAACTGGAAAGATTGCAAATAGAAGCTAAAGGTACTTCTCCAAGCAGAACCCACAAAGCACAGTGACATCCCAGGGATGTCCCCAAATGGACAACTTGTCCCAAGGTCTTTTATGGGACACCCCAAAGACATCTTCAGTCAGGTGATTTCCAACATCTTGATGGGGATGTCTTTTAGACAACTTCAGTAAAAAAAAAAAACTCAATATCCCAAAAGGGAAATTTTAAAGATATCCCTTCAGAATATCGAGAAGTGTTTCACTGAAGATATCTTCAGGATGTCCTGTGAAGACAGAGAGACAGGTTGGGGAGATCCCAAGGATGTCTCCATGTTTTGTGAGACCTATCTGCAACCTGTCCCTGATCATGTACACTTTTGAATCCTGAAAAGAGTGTCAACAGAACAAATTAATGAGAAAGGGTTGTGATAAAATTAATTATTGAATTAAAAAGCAAAATGGGCATAGACAAGACATCACTTTATAAAATAACCCAGAAAGCCACTGGACAAAGATAATCAATTTAGCCACTGGAATATTCAAGGCACCTCATGCAAAATGACTGGTTCATCTTTTCCTAAAACTCCTCATATTGAGTGCAGCTTTGAATCAAAGCAAAAGATGGTATTCATCTGCCTCTGAACCAAGCAATTGCATACCACTATCACAACCAACCATTCGATGAAGCATTAAGGAAATACCATGATTTGCAAGTTCAATATAAGCTTGATAAAAATTTGAAATCTTCTGTGGTGGTACAGATGCTCAAGGTATACATACAGTAGCAATCAGATTTCAAGCAGAATATTCACTTTGTGGTTCACATACATCTGTAGGAGCAAGGGTAATGCAATGTTTCATTCTATGAATGATCCTTATTAACATCTTCACTCATCAATTGAGGCTGAACAATAAAAGTGATCCATTTATTTACCCCACTAATTTCTTATGGGGACAATTACAATGAAAGAGATGGTTTATTTACCAGCCTTAACATGTTTACCACTAAAGTCCATCCATGTATTAAATCTGTTAAGAGTTTCTGTGTACACCTGGTCTAATATTAGGTGTGACTTGATTGTAGCACTGAATAATTCTACTGAAAAAATCCAATTAGAAATAAGTGGGGTATCTATAATTGGAACACCCTGTACAATATTTAATGAAATCTGCAGTGTTTAATGGGTTTATTTTGCAATCTCAGATGATTAAATGAAATAAGTTCCTTGCTAGGAGTTGAAAGTCAATGCTTATAAGATGCAAGCTCTCAACGACCAGACATTGATGGAAATGGCTACTTTGATTGAAGACTTCAAAAAGTTACTGATCTTGATGACTATTGGTTTTTTGTTGTTGAAGTGAAAGGACTCATTGCCCATATGGGGAGCATGGAAGAATCCCAGGAAGCAAGAGGGCCAAATAGTTCAGTAGGAAGAGCATCAGTAAAAGGGACTGAAAGTGCAGGTTTCCATCAGTTAACAAATCTTGAATTCTTCTCCATGTTCCTTATTCTTCAGGAAAATTTGCAGCAAGAGCAATAGAACTTTGTGACTGCCAAAAACAAACTTCTCATGTTGCAGTAAGTTCCTCAAAGGCACAGTTTTTGACTGATCCCTTCTTATTCACCAGAATAAGAAGGGACCCTCATTCAGCAACTTCTTGGCCCATTATTACAGAGGCCATTTCAATCATTTTTGGCTTTCTATTTCACTACAATAATATTGGTATAAGGCTTGATCTCAGACCTTTACTGACCTCAATGAGACTCTCCAATGAGGTAAATCCAGATACAAGAGTCTTATTTTCAACTTGGATTAACACTTGAAACAATTCTGGGTGATATACCATGTGAGCTGTCCACGAAATCCAGCTGTAAGTCACCTTGTCATTCTGTGATGCAATCAAGCAGAGAACACCAAGGTGGTATGAAAAGAAAAAGGTTCTCACAAACCCAGTCTTACAAGTTCTTCACATCTTGTGCATGGACCTACTATTGCAAGCATGCAGAACAACAAACATATGCCCAGTGAAAGGCTCACAGTTCACATGGCTCACTCAAGTAATTATTTGCCACAAGTTTCATTAACCTAACTGTTGATTTTTCATACTCTAATTGCTTCCCCCCTCTTCAGGGAAAAAAAATCTCCATATTATAATGAAATAAAATGAAGCAATTTTGAATGAAGGAAAAAGGGTGAGGAAATTTGGAAGCTTTAGTGGAAATCAAGCCTGTACCATTAGGATTGTTAGCATGAAACTCTTCCACCTTTGTCAGTCAGTTGACTTTGGTCAGACAGAAGGTACCCGACACTGTTGCTTCTCAATCTTCCTCAATGTCACCCTATGAGTAGAGTGCTATTCCATCTCTTGGCACCTCATACTGCTCATGCAAGGGTCACATCAAGAAATAAGAAATGGCTTGAATGAGAGTGAAGAAGTTCAAAGGCTAGATCTCAATGGTGCCGAAGTGCTATGTGTTAGAGGCTGCTTCTGATTGATGATACAAATGAATAATGGCATACCTCAAATAGGCCCATTTTTAGGAAATGTTCTACATATATGAGGGTGATAAAAATGTGTGAAGCAAATAAGAGAAGAAAAAAAAGGTCCAAGAAAGCAACCTTTTGTGTTCGGGGCTTAGACTGATGATTCCAACTGGGACAGGGAATCCTGACTCATGTCCCTCTTCACATTGCAAGTTTGAAGGAAGATATGAGAACTGAGGGCAAAAACAGCAGAATCATTGTCACAGCATACATGGCCCTGCAGTAGATTTCAAATGACTTGCTCCTTTCTCTGGATCATTAGACCTATCTTTTTTCTTTCATTTCCAACTCTTACATATAGGGTTCTTAGTGCTCCAACTCCAGACCAATATAATATTGCAGGTCCTGAATTCTGTCTACTGCCCCTTGTTAGAAGCCGTAAACTTTCAATCAAAACAGGTTTTCTTGAGTTGACACTAATTGGGGCTTGTCATATGGCTCAAAAGAGCTGACATAAATCAGACATTATGGTGGCACTAAGCACTCTGAAAGTTGTACCCTGTTGCAGTTAAGGCTAGAGGTGGGCATGGTCTTTGCTGAAACTCATCCAATATCTTCATCATAGCTCATTACCCAATCAAATAAATGAGTAGTCAAATAATGCACTGCTTTTAACAGCCTCATCTGGGATCTCCTCTATAGCACACAAGAAAGAAGAAATATAAAAGGGAGGTCATGGCATGAAGAATGATATGATACCTTTTCAATCCAGAATAGTACTAACAACAGTATCAGTTGATGACAGAATGAATACATCTAATGCACATTGGGTGAGGCATGTAGACACTTCCTCCCATGATAAATAATAAATCTCTGATGAGACAAAAATCTGACACCTCATATCTTCACTGCCAAAGATTGTACGACAGAGTCTGACCAAAATTGTTGGGCTGATGAAAAGGAGGACTTGTATTTTGGGTTGTCATTTGGCTTGGCATGGTTGATGCCATGGACAAGGTTCCCATCTGATGGGCAAGTTGTTGCTGGAACAGAATGAATTAATTGCATAAAATGGAAAATCACAGATTAAGAGATCTACAGTTATAATATTAAGACCTACCTCCCTGGAGTTGGGGTGTTGGAGTGTTGCAGGAGATGGGGCATGAGAAGTATTTACCATGTATGAGAAGGGATTGTTATAAGCCAATTGAGGATTGTGTCCTGAACTTGGAATTCCTCCAGCCAAAGGAGGGTACCCTATGGGATTCTAAAAATATAAATGAATATTGTAAACAAAATGATTTCATGCAAATACAATTATCACTAGAACAGAAACATAAAGAGGGAAAAGATGATTGAAAAAGGCTCAAGGAAGCTGTGAAATTAACAGTATCCTCGTTGGGGGACAAGGTGCCGTTTGCATTTGTAGTGCCATTAGATCATTGAAATCTCCTTCCTGAGAGTGAAAGGGTTTAGAACAGAGGTCGGGAACCTATGGTTCACGAGCCAAATTTGGCTCACAAGCTGAAAAGTTTGGCTCATTGATTCATGGCTAAAAATCATGGTTGTTTCTCATTTTCTATTGTATCAAAGGATGCACATGTCTGTTGGTAACTTCAGGGAAAATTCAGTTGTTCAGAAAATCTTTCATTCACAAGCACTTACCTCAACCTTAATGTGGCTCACATGGGTAAAAAGGTTCCCGACCCCTGGTTTAGAAGTAGACAGAGGTCCATAATGGTTGAGAACTAGAAGATTGCTGCTTGTGATGATGGGTAAACAGTTTCCTGAATGTTGTCCTATATAAAGGACAGATTTCCCTATTCTAAATGACTGCTCCATGCCATTCACAAACAAGCAGCATCTAGTAAAGGGTTAAACCTAATTCACAACCATTTAAGTATGTATGTACTCTATGGATGTATGATACATTTAAGTGGAGACAAATTAAGGTATTGTTGTTAGTAGAAGTAAATATATTTTTTTAGTGATGCTAAAATCACAAGTCAACAGTCCACTTTCCATGATAAAACCATTGTCTCAGATGACAGAGGAGATCTGTGCCCAAAAGACTCTTCTAAGGAACAACTCTGCTTCACTGGGTAGAAGCACAGGGATTTCATTTAAGAAAATCTTCAGCTACAATTTGAACTTTAGCAAATCACTCCTAAAACCAATTTTATGTCAAGATAAGTTCCTTGTCTCTTGCTGGGCTAGGAGGCAAAAACTGCTCCCTAAAGGAAAAAACCAAGATGTGATGAAGAAAGAGAAAAGAGAAGAATAGAAACACAAGAATAAATCCAGAGGGTACCAGATACTGATTTAGAAGAAAAGTGAATGGTTTCTCAACAGCTATTATTATCTTTATGTAAGGAAATCAAGTAATGCATCTTTATAAGGAGTCAACAAACATTTTTTCAATAACCAGTCATCATTTTCATTACACTTGTGGGTACATAATTAGCTGCTGAAAACAAAATTAAGACTGCTACTACAGACTTGGAGGCACCTATTCAGCTTAATTTTCCAGAATTTTGTTGCATTTTTAAAATTATTTTCTGATGACATTGCTCAAAAAACAGGGATTTTTGTGCTGCATCTCTCATCCTACCACTGCATTTTCAACTCCTTATGACTGATTTGGAGTCAGATGAAGATGACAGTGAGAAAGGGAAAAAATAAACCAACCTAAAGTCATGAAGTATTGAAACTGATCCATGTGGAGTGGAGAAAGTTACTACAGAATAAGAGCAAGAGATGGTTCTGCATGTGGAAAGAGTTGAGAAGAGAATCCATGAGACAAGATGAAAATGCAGATGACACAATGCATGTATATGAGTAGGTGGACACAGGACAGAGTTAGCAAGTAAATCTCAGCTGTCAATAAAGAGTGAGATTCTGTCAAAAGAGGGTGTTCAGAAGATCAAAGATGATGTGTTGCTACAGAGCTCTTTGAAACACTTGTCTACATTTCCTAAAATTGCCTCAAGAAGACTGTTGCATTCATCTTAAATTATCATACGTCAAATGAAAAAAAATAAAAAGAACATTCTATTGACATGCACCTAGATACCATGGCACCACAGAATAATGAGAAATCAAAGGAAAAAAGAGAAGGTCTTTTGACTCTACACAGGCCCTGGATGACAGAAAGGAGTACAGTGATATCAACGAAAAGGTGAATTTTTCAACTAAGTGCCCTATGCAATTCTCACTTCAACCTTAAAGTTTACATGCCTCAACCTTCATCTGGATGTGACTTTCATTTTGAGTATCTCTTCCTTTACACAATGCAAGTCTCATTTGCCTTCTACTATTTTTTATGACAATCCAGAATCAATGGCAAGATCTCACCTGAAACCCTATCAACTGCATTCCTGCACTTGAAGCCATCACACTACTTTGCTGATATCCAGGTTGACCACCTATTAGATAGAGCAGAGGGACATACAGTGCACATAAACTACAACTCAACTGTATAATGCAAAAAGTGAGTTTTAAAAATGTGAACCCAAGAACCAATAGGCTAACCACTAACCAGGGGCACTGAATGAGAATGATGCTTGTGGGCTTGTAACAGTGTTCCCATACAAAGCAAGTATAGAATCCTTTGACAAAGGGGATGGCTTTGACTCTATAGAGGCTGGTGTGGTTAAAAAGTTCTCAAGATCACCACTGGGCCCATTTTCCTTGTCAGTAGGAGGATCTCTTGGAGGAGAGGCAAGTCCAAGCAAGTCATCAGTTGTGGAAATGTCAACAGTCCTGTCTGTAGATATATCAGGTTGGGTCGAATCTGCTGGATGAGTACAAGAATCTTTATAAATCAACAAGACTCTTAAAAAGCAGCACCAATTCATTACTTAGCACCAAACAATAAGAAATAACCAACCTAGACCAAGGAGATCAACATTGGAGTCTTGAGACATCTTCCCTGAAGCACTATTTGAAGCAGGCTGATTGCTAGGAGGAGTAGCACTATGAGCAGGTATGACAGGTATTTCTACTGCTGCTCTCTTCTTTTCTCGCCGTTTCTTGGCCTTCTCATCCATCTCTAAAGCCCAGTTTACCTTCTTGGGCAATGGTTGTGGCACCCATTCCTGAGCTATATATTTTTTCTGCTCATATTTTGCTCGAATGAGCATTTCCAGTCCTGAATCAGTTTGAGGGCGACGGAAATTTTCTGGGATGTTTGCCTCATACACTGCCCTTGCTCTACTGTTGCCCATCTGCTGAATAGCCTGAATAGGAATAATAGTTTTCCATTATGATATCCCTAATCTATTGTATGTCAAGACACCATTTGGACAATGGCATGGGGTTCACTTCAATGTGATAAATGCATGAGATAATGCCATTATAAAAAAAAAAACCAAGTGTTGAATTTTTAGGAAAAAGCAGGGATAAGGGCAGATAGTCAAGGAATGGAGTAGAGTATGTTGTCAAAAGTGCCATGTGATCAACCTATCAATGATTATGCATCACAAAAACTCGTGGGAATTAATGCAATAAGCATGTTTTTATTCAGTTAATGCCAGAGAAAGCTCCAGCAGATACTAAAGCCACTCAAGTGAAGAAGTATTGTTTGAGCTTAACTGGTAAAGTTTTACTGAATTTCCAAGCCTAGTTTTCATAGGGAACACCATTTCATGAAATGCAAGGTAGACTTGGGTGCCAAGGGACACTGATGAAAATGGAAATTCAACTGAAAGAAAAACTCAAATTAATTTAAATTAGTTAAAATTAATTAAAATAAAAATTAGTGAACTGACTCATAATAGCTAAAGGAGAGAACTTTTTTCTCTCTCTAAATAGATCTCCTTCACTGCAGCACTTGTGAAAGATAATTGACTTTATTTGGAAAAACTTACTGCCACTTGCTCTGGAGTCCATGTATCCAGATTGACTGACTTCACTTTGGAGACATGCACCCCAAGATTACGATGAATTCCTGCACAGCGGATGCACAAAAAGACCCCCAGGTTCCATGATGCCCATCGAGGACCTGAAAGAAGTAACAGGGAGATAATATTTGCTCTTGGCAGGATTGGAAAATCATGAGTCCAAGATCACTCACCTTTTGCATCACAATCAACACAATATTTATTTTCCTCATCTTTCAAGAGCTCATGCAAAATAGCTTGACACTTCTCTTGAATCATTTTTTGTTTCTCTGTCTCTGGTTTCTTATTAGACATGCTGATGTGGGATATTGATGTTTGTTGGCCAAAACCCAACTTCAGTTCACCTATTAGAAGAGGCTTGATCTTAGGATAGAGCATTTCTTTAATTTTGTCCATGCAAAGCTAATACTTCTACTCTGTCCTCTATTGGTCAGGGTTAAGTGTGTACCCTTAGGATATTGTGTTGCTCAAGTTATGGCAGGTGGGTTTAGGAAAAAAGCCACTCAGAAATAAGACCCCTAGAATTGGCTAAGGTGGAAAAAAGCCACCCAGAAATAAGAACCCAAGAGTTAGCAAAGGCAGAAAAGTACTATCTCATTATGATTGTCAGATTAAAGACACTTTCATTTTTGCAACAATTAGCAATATTGATATGTAATTTGATCAACTTCACTGAAATTTTATGAAAAATAAAACAAGTCCAACTTCAGCTAATTCCTAAAAAATGAATAGCATGGTCAACAGGAAATCTTTTGATTGTGGCTGTGTTACAGGATGAGATGATTGTACTTTCTGAATACTTCTAGAAATTTGTTCTCAAATAATTGCTCTGGGGTAATGTAAGTTTTTAAAAAATATTTTATCTCCCTCCTATCTACTTTTACTCCTTTTTCCAGAGGATGGAGAGGATCAGGATTAGCTTCCCTTCTCAATCCACCCCCTTGAACTGCCCCCCCCCCCCCCCCCCTATACCCACCATTACGTGAAATCTGTAGTGATTCACTCAAACACATGATCAAATATGAATGATATGAGGAAATACCGCGCAGTGATTAAAATTGTAAAATGGATATTGAAGAGCACGGATCCTACAGGGTGTTCCATAAGTCCCTTGACCCCCCCCCCCCAAGTCAGTTCAAGCATTGCATTGAGATGAGTCCAGCCAGTGTTCATAGCTTAACAGAGTCCATATTCCCTTCACCTTACATAATGAGAGTAGGAAAATAACATTTTTAAAATGATAGATTTAAAGAAGTGCTTCCAATCAAGCGATGCTTTACATTTCCATTGCTTTATCCTCAACGAATGAAAAAGAAAAATCAGTAATATAGTACTTTAATTATTGATGGCAATTCGAACTTAAGTAATAAGAACATGGATAATAATTGGCCACATCCCTGCATGAATGTTCTCAACATTGGCAAAGTGAATGTTTTTCATCTGATATCATCTGATATGTATATATATATATATGAATAATTATGAAGCTACCACCCAGGTTTTTAGCATTTTCTTCTCGGGTGGCTTTTTCTGCATTTTTCAAAACCCAAGGCCAGGTCAGGTTAGGTTAGGTTAGGTTAGGGTGGGGTGGTGTTTATATAAAAGGAATCCCCATCAAAGTAGCATGTTTCCAGTTGAATTCATCTAGAATCATTTGAGACTGAGGGCATGCAATTTCGTTAGGGGGTACATGCTTAACTGTTAATGTCAATATTTTAAACATATAACAAGCTCATTTCATGTGCAGTACTCCGATTTTCAAGTGATTGGTTACTGTAACAACTGGGATTTGGTTGTAAAAAATATTGTGCCTGGGTAATGTGAAACTGGTTGGCTACAGTGCCAATTCCCAGGTCAATGAAACTTGACACATTCAAATAAATTTTTGCTTTATATACATGCTTTGATCATGTGTTTGAGTGAATCACTACAGATTTCACGTAATGGTGGGTATAGGGGGAGTACTAACATCAGTAATATGCTGCAGATTTAGATTGAGTTGAACAGGAGCAGAGCACCATGTTGCTGCAGGGCTTGCACACTGCATTAAATGAAGGTAAACAGAGGTGGTAATGCGGCAGGAGGTTCAGTTGTAAATAACCAGTTCAGTGTCAAAGGCCAAAGAGTGAGAAAGTCAACCTATTCTGGAGGATGATGGGTTGATGTTGGATTAGGAAAGAGTTGTGGCCTTCAGCTGTGGTTATTTTCATTCAAACCCAACTGACCCATCATTCTCCAAATTAGGTTGACTTTCTCACTCTTTTGGCCAAACATAGAAGGAATGCAGCTCCCTTGCTAATTAGTTCCATGCGGTGCACTTGGGTTTAGTCAAAACCCAAAAAATCTGATGAAACGATAGTCTGAGTCTCTGGCTCCGAAGTGATTACGGAATTAATTAAATTACGAAATCTTATGGGTGGAAGGGACAGAGGCTGCACAGGATGGGGTTAGAATGGAGGCAAGGACAGACAGTACGCTCTGCTCCTATCATTTAAAATGGTGCACTTGTAGCAGTGAGTATTCCCAGTCGTGCAATTAACGGTTACGTACAGTTATCTCAGAAAATACTGACCATAAGCAAATCCCGTTAATGTTTGATGGGAACCCATTAACACCTTTTTCATGCGAGTTATGATTCAACTGAAAAGTAAGAAGCTTTATTGGCCTGCGAAATGGCAACTTAACCAACTGTCTAATCCAAAATTTTAGCAGTCAAGGTCCAACACTCTTCGAGATACGCCCCTTTGAGGTTTGAGAGGGAAGTGATTATTCGGTGGAAGGCTTCGCCTAAACTTGGTATAGGCCCGGACTTATTCAATGGAAATAACTGGGCTAGCCTATGAATACAGGCATAAGCCAAAGCTAGGATAGTCAGAGGTGAGGGAAAGGAATTTTCCCAAGGAACGCCTGGAAACAGTAGAGAGGGCCACATCACTACCAGTACCTCGCCATATCTGATACAGTGTTGCTTAATCCATCAACAGAATACTTAATAAATTGCAAGGTATGCCGAAAATACATAGAAGCACCTTCGGAATTTCATTACTATCTCCTATTAACTGCTTTATAAAAGCAGAAATTATACATTTTTTATCATAAAATTTCCAAATATGTTTCTCCTGTTGTCTGCTTCAGGATGGGCTACTTGGCAATCAGAACAACTTCGCAAGGCGGTCATGCGATTGGCTGGATTCCCCATGACTCTGACGGCTGATTTGAATTGGTTGGAGGGTCCTATGCTTAGCGGTGTTATGCTGAGACAGACCCTGTAAGCCTATCCACTTGAAGTGAAAGGGAAAAATTTTTAAGCATAGATTTCGCAACAGGACTTAACAGTTCAGCTGGTGGGATTCATTCGTTTCTACGCTTAGACCTGCTGGCCTAGGCTTGGCCTTACTCAATCTTCATGAAGACTTGACCACCATCAACTCACCAATGGCAACTTTAGAGGTGAGACTACTTGAAATTAGGAAATATACTCTTAAATAAATGTAAACCAGAGTTTGAGCTTGTTGCAACATGACAGTAGTAACAAATCGATAGTAAATGTAGGAAAAAGTAACTTAATGATTAGGGTAGCCAAACGTCCTGGTTTGAATTTTCCTCTCTGCCCTGGTGTCCCAGATTTTTTTCCCATTGCAGGTACTAACATTCTGACATTTACTTGAAAATGCCCTGGTTTTTCCTGGAAAAAAATCTGGTCACCATATTCATTATTTACAGCAATTATCAGCAATTTGAATCAGTTGTAGTAATTGTAAGATTGAGATGGTGGGTCTCAATTACTGAGCCAAGAAGGGTCAGTGAAGTACCTTAAGGGAAATTATTACATAGGATTATGATTTACAAAGGGTTGAATGCATGGAGTTAATGTGTTGCAGGATTGGTGTAGTGAGTTGGATCCCATATAGAATACAAACATTTCTTCAAAGTAGCATATTTAGTATTAATTCATTGAATGTTACCAATTTGTGTCACAGCCTGGGGCACAGCTAGTGAATCACACTTGAACAATGTGACTGTACTTCAGAAGCAGAGTATAAGACTAATTAGTTTTGCAGGGTGAGTTGATCACCCTAAGCCACTCTTCATGTTGTAGAACATCTCACTATTAAGTAGATTAACATAATATTTTTGTCTTTTCTATCAAGATTCATGACTTCAGCAAACAAAAAAGCTGATATAAAAGATTTGCATCATAAGGTAATTTTTGCATTAACCCAGCATGGTTCTTGTACCATTCTAGCATACTGTGTGAGCTAGCCTGGTGTGGTACTAGTACCACAGCTAAAATAAAAATCATGCTAAAGTCAGGTATCACAACAGGGTCTGTGGCATGACTGACCTAGTGTCTTTGGCAACCTCTGGATGCCATATCCTGAAATTTTCATGCTAGTCTAGTGAAGTGGAGGGATAAGTTTTGAAAGCTGTTTAAGAAGATGGTTGATGCAGGACCATTGCTTCCTCATGCTAAAAAAAACTAATTCAGATATTCTTGAAGAGATATTGGCTCAGTACTGGTAATGCAAAAGATACCTAGGTAGATGTCTTCAACCCTTAGATGATTACCATGAGACTCTAATCAACTGGCATGTGAATTTGAAATTTTTTTAATTTTGTAAATAATTGGCCTATATTGCACATCCTTTAAAATCATAATGGTGTTTTTAAGAAATATAAAAGTGTGGCTGAGTAAATGCTCATTCAAACATAGTTATAGTCGTTTTCATCCGTTGCAGTTGTGGTTTTGCATGAATTTATTCACACATTTTAAATACCCTCATGTCACAGGGCCTGCCATATCAACCAACACCTGGTTCTCTAAGATTTAACACCGAAAGAAAATGCAGGATGGGAAGTGCTCTTTTGTTAAGGCAAAAATTATAGCATTGGAACATGTTACCACCCAGTCACTGATAAATCTGTTAAAGATATGACAAAGCGGGAAACATGAGGTGCAGGAACTTTACAGGGAAAAGTGAAAGGTAGACTACCTAAGAAGGGGGACAGAGGCCAAGGGTTGGGTATTCACGAAATTAGAGTAAATTCAGGCATTGTAGGCATCAGAATGAAGGACAACAAAGTACTCTCCTTTTAAATTTCACTGTGATTAAATAAATGAAGGCATTAACTAGGAATAAATTCCAGAATGGAGGGTCTTGGTGATCTTCAGTAGCTTGGGAGTACTATCAAAAGGAAGGGGTGTTGATGCTGTAAATGTTGTAAATGGCCACCAGTACCATACATTTTTTGGTACCTAAAATGTTCTAATTTCACCAATTCTATGCCAAAGAATGACAGATCCAGGATGAAACAGTTTCACTTTTATGATCTGTTTGGATTCAGATTTAATTGAAGCTAGTCTCCTGATGTCATTT